CTGACAAACAAACGAGGTAAAAAAGACAACAGCAGTCCTCAACACAAAACAAACGAAAGACTCCCTCCCCGCGTATATGGGGGGTGTCTTTCAGGGGGACTCCCTTTGGTTTGCCTTCAAACAATCCCAACAAGGGTACCCGCAAAAAAAGACACGGCCATAAGTCTTCACAAACTCCCGGCTGCTTCTGTTTGCCTTCCCGAGCACTAGGGCGCCGGCGTGCCTGCGCGCAAACGCGCCCTGGGTCTCGTTGGGACCGGGCTAGGTGCAACCGCTGATGGTCCGGTCCCGCTCGGGCTACTGGCAACCACCCCTGGCCGCGCAAAGCATCTTCCAGGTTTTGTTTCCCTTGCTGACCCCAAAGGACATGGGGCAAGTTGTCGCAACTTTGCTTGTGGACATGTTCTTGCTGATGCTCAGCAGGGAATGCCCAAAGACAAACCATCCCTTGGTTCATTCCCAACACCCGGAAGGTCATTCCCTACCTATCGCGCCAGCAAGTTTTGGGCGACCATAGGCGACCACCAAACCTCATATCGTCGCGAGCAATCGGCAAGAACAAAGATGCTAGAACACCCAACATGACTTGGCCAAAAGCAGAACGGCTGAGGGTGCCGGACGTAGTTGGCAGCATCCCAGAGCTCAACATTTTAGTAAAGCTTAAATTTGGATCTGGGTCTTGGATTCGAGGGATTGGGGTGAGGTGGGTGCGTTGGGTTCCTGCGGCAAAGGGAGCCGAGGGCCGCCCCCCGTTGGCCTCGCGCCCGCGCTTGCAGCTGAGCTCGGATCATCTGGACCTTTGCTCTCCGCTTCGCCTGAGCTCTGCCGTGCTTTGGGAGCCGGTTTCTCACTTCCTGGATTGGCCAAAAAAAAAGTCCCTTCCTGAGTGGATTGGCCAACACAAGTACCACCCAGAGGTCGGCGCCCAACGGTCAGAAAGGCTCCTGCTTAAATGGTCTTCAAAAGCTCAGTGTCCGGGAAGCCAGGGAGAGGGGCTTGGGTATCCTGGGTGGCGGCTTCCTAGTTGGGCGCCTCCCAAATGGAGAGCAAAAGGAAACAGCACTTTGGGATTTTCGATCCATCTTGGAGGGGTCCCCTAAAACGAGACCCACCCGAAGGATTGCCGGACCCGCCGCGTGTCCCCAAAAAGGCACATTGGGCACGTTTCTAAATGTGGCAACCCCATGGTCAGTTGCAGCCCGCGGGGGTCCCCGATGAGTTGGACACCTGAACAAACGACTGTGCATGCGCCTGTGGGAAAAGGATTCACCCCGTGCGTGCCCAATAGCGAACAGCTCACCGTGCCACATAAGGCATGGAATGCGCATCCACTCGTGGAAACGCGCTAGACAGACTTGAAACCGTGCCTGCAAACAACGATGTTGGGGAAACGCTGCCGATGAAAAAACTAGCAAACGAGCATCTCGAACCAGTCCGTGAGCGTGTTCCCATTGTTGTCTTCCAAGCAAAAACTCGCTCAGGTGTTCCACGGGACCCTCCACAAATGAAATCCTCTTGGGAAGTGGATCTGCGAACCTACCGACAGCCAAATTTCTAGCCAATGCAGGGGCTGTTTTAGGGACGGCTGCAGAAAGGAAACCAGCATGACCTCCCCCGAAAGGGAGCTGGCCGTTCCACACCCAGTCCCCTGGACCCTTCTCCAAAGCGGATCTTCGAAATCGGCTCGCGCTCTCCCATTGCCATGGTTCTGCTAGCTATTTCCCTCCCTAAGATAGGACTTCTCCAAAGGGTGTCTGGAGGAAATTGATCTTCCAGGTATCCTCCCAGGCTACGTGGGAGGTGCCGCCTACAAAGGCTACGTGGGAGGAAGAGGCAGGGCCTTTGATCCTCCCTGTCCCCACCTCGTCTCTGGGAGGCGCAAGACGGCTGCCCAAGCCTTCGCTGACCTGCGTTGCGCAGGAGCTTTGGGCGACAAACCTCTGCCCTGTCCATTTGCAAATGAACAAAAATCAACATCGCCATCCCTGCAACATTAACAAGAAAACCCGCGAGCACTGAAGGATTGAGAAGGCACTTGTTGGGCTTCCTCCATGTAATGCGCTGGCTTCCACTTAATGCTTGCCGAGAATATCTAAGACGAGTCCTTGCGCCCACGGCAGAACATGTTTTTCATGAGCCCCGTGCTTCTTCCGGCCAATCCCTGATCACCCGTCAGACCGTCAGATGTGCGAGTCACATTCACAGAAACTGGCAAGCCGAATGGGTGTCTTTTTTGATGGAACTCTTTGTTGGTGGCTAATTCTTAGAGGCAAATAAAGTGGACACCGCAGTTTTAGGAGCTCGTGGAAAAAGGCTTGTACATCTATGATCCATGTTCATGTGTACCTACTGAATTTGCAAACTAATGTGATGGTAGATGGTATCAAACACTTTGTGGCGACAAACAACGTACCCTAATTCTCCCAGCTCATTTCCACAAAGCAATACCTCACAGCTCGAAGCTTGTATGTTTGTTTCGACTGCCGGCATCCAAAGTAAGTATTCGATGGTTTCAAGGGGAATTGCATAAAGAAACCACCCATTGGTTGCACATCCAGTTGCTTTGGCCTGTCTCCGGGCGTTTCTTGCTTTTGAGCTTGCTGTCCAGACTGCAACGCACACCAAGGCCCGAAACCTCCGGGCAAAAGCTCTTGACGGCTAGAGCAATACCACGGTGGTTCCTGTGAAGCGACATTCTACTGTTGAATCTAGGCTGCCCTCAGATCCCCCGCTCAAAGTGTTTAACTTTTAGTGGGACCCTTTCCCCCCCCGAAACAAAAACGAGTCCAAAGTGGCCATGGGTTCAGCCTTTGATTTGATCCAAACCCCAACCCATTTGGAACCCACGGAACGACCACCAGGGCTCCCTGCGTCCAGCTTCAAGTCGTTGGTCTCCGACTGAGGCGGAGACAAACCCCCAAGGCGCTTTTTCTGGGCCCGTTTTCAGATCCGCGAGAAAAGTGGCTCACTTGTAGTGGGGGAAAAATTGGGAAACTAGCACTAAACACTAAAAGGATCTAAAAAGCTAAGGAACCGGATGGCCTTCGGGAGCCAGGTTTAGCCACAACAAATCCAAGTCCCCCCATATGTTGCGCTCACTTCCTGAGTGGATTGGCCAAAGAAAGTCAGATGTTGCATTTTTACGATTCACTAAAATGGTCTTCCCCAAAAGCTTAAAGCCCAGAAACTCAGGAAGTGAGCGCATACGGAAGTCTTGAAGTCGTGGCCTTTAGTGCTGTTCAATGGAACTCCGGGACCTTCTTGCGCAGGGTCCACATGTCCCCGCTCGCTCCAGGGAAATTGGAGCTGATGGCATCCAATAAGCGCATGGTGCCGCCATAGATCTTGACTGCTATTGGGTTGTTGGGGGGGGGGGGGGGTTCACTAAACCCCCAAAAAGTTAAGCTTTTTGCGGGGGGGGGGGGGGTGTCAACAGCAACCCAGAGATGTATTTGCCAAATTGTGGGCATCAAGCACCCAAATATTGCTAGAAACAATGAGTTTTTTTCTGCGTGACCGCAGCGGAAGCTATGTTGCTCAAAGCGTGTTGTTGACCGTGCAGGTTATCAAGGTAAAGAACGTTCTCAGGTAGGGCCGTCATGGATTTCGGGAGATGACCAGAGCCGTGCGAAAGATATCCTGTTGGCCAGCCATGTCTACCAAATCCCACCAGTTGCCACCAGTTGCAAATCACCAGTTCTCAGCCAGCCTCTTGGCGCGAGGCCTTCTTGTTTTCCCGCATCATGGAGATGGCCTGCCGAACTGCCAGACACGTAGCTCGGAACCGGATGGTCACAATCAAGGCAGTGAGGCGCAAGCCATCAACGAAAATGCAGTAAAATATGCATGATAAATGCATCATATAGATGCATGCATATGCACATGTGTATACACATATATTTGGATTGAATGCATAGATATATATGTATATATATATATATACATATATTTATGCATATCAAACCAGCACACGCCTAAACGAGACGAAAACTGGTCTCAACACTTGGACAGCTTTTTAGCCACAGCAAAACAAGGTCAAAGGCTGTTGTTACCGACTAAATGCGGTGTCCCCTTGTTTCCCGTAGTCCAATTTCAAGGGTACCTCGAAAACAAAAGAGCAAAACAGGTTGGTCTCCTGTGTCTTTCGCTTTGAACCAACCCCCAGAAATCTACCCTCAAGAAAGCAAGAAAGCAAATCGGGAACCCAACGCAAGTTTTCTGTTTTCCTACCCGCAACAATGGTGTGTGTGTGTGTGTGTCTGTTGTCTATTGAGGGTACCCTGTTTGGGTCGGCTTTGAAGAGTTTCTCAGGTGAGCCAACAGGACAGCCACTGTTTTGCGGGGCAGCCCAGCTTAAATCATCTTAACACACATGCACAACCCCCACATCCTCCAGTAGAGAGGTTGGAATAAGGGTACTGACCCGCTTGGTTGCTGTTGACCCCCCTGCAAAAAGTTTAACTTTTTTGAGGTTTAGTGGAAAACACCATCATTGTCCAAAAAGCTAAAGTCTAAAGATCCAACCCAATAGCAGTCAAGGGGGGCCCTGCCCCCCCCCCCCCCCGCCAACCTTCAACTTCCGCTTGGTGCGCATGAGCGCGCTCCGCTTCTCCCAGCGAACGGACTCCTGGCGCCGAGGTAACCTTGGTTGACATTGGAAGGGGAGTGAGCAACAATTTACTTATTTGCAGTTACAGTGAGTGGTTGGATGCCAACCACTAAACCACAAGAAGCAAGCACGCAACAAATGCTTCCCAACAAGCATGTAACCCTGAATCGGTGGATTGGCTTGAAGGCTTGAAGCCCTGACTTGGGTACATGGGAAACCCAAGTCAAACCTCTCCACCGGATCGTCAATTCGAGAGCTGAACATTTCAGCTTCCTTTGAATGGGTGTCTGTTTTGGTGAAGCTTCAGAATGCGGGGTCTTCAAATCCCACCAATTAGCCACTTGACGGTAACCTGAAAGGTCCCCTTGCAAACCCCATCGATCCACATCAAAATCCCCACGGCTTTCATGCGAAACCATGTGCACCACGACTTCCCCAGCTTGGAAAACAAAGGCGTACCTTCATCGCGGACTTGGAAGGCCTTTATCGGCAGGCACTGCGGAACGCACATGCAGCACTGCTGGTGGATAAGACGACTATCCTCCTGTGGTTGGTTCCTACTTGCAGACAATTGCTGTAAAAGTGGCCACCTGGAAAATGAACATATACAGACTGCTTACCAGCACCACAAGAAACAGGATTGATCCAACTGAAAGGGTTGCTAATGAAACTGGCCACTCGCATGCGTACTCTGACCAAGTTTCTTTAGTTTGTACCTATTTGATCATGTGAAGCCCCTTCCGCCTTTGACCGAAATACGGTGGTTTAACACTCCCTGCTTGTTGCTTGCTCTTGTTGATTCTTCGTTCTGCAGAAGTCACCAGCTCACAGCTGCAAGGCAACTTGCACACGCAGGCTTCGGTTCGTTGTTTCCCTGGGCTACGTTGCCCCGCGACCCTGGTAGCAAAAGCCCCCCCCCCCCTGTTGTGGGTTGACCAATTGTAGCAGAGACCCGGCAACAAAACGGGAAACAAACTGCCCTGTGCGCTGTAACATTCCCCCCTCATCATCCCATCCCCACCTCTTTGCCCAGCCGTTCCAGGACGGATCGCAAAAGCTTGGCGTCCTGGCTCGAGCAAAAAAAACATCTCTGACCCAAAGACTGCGTCTGTGTCACTTCCTGGGTTGACTGGCCAAAAAAATGTAGCTACACTTTTTGTTTGCCACTAAACTGGCCTTCCCAAAAAGCTGAAAGTCCATGAGCTCAAGGAGCGAGTTAAAATGTCCTCAGACCGCGGATTTCTGGAGGCGTTTCCGGGCCGTAAGCGAAAGTTTCCATTTCTGGTGGCGTTTCTAAACAAAAACTTCCAAACCGACATCCATGTCCTTGTAGGTTCCTGTACACTGAGAGTTCTTTGGTTCGCGGGGTCGGGCGTGGACTCAGGCCTTTCCGGCCGAATCTGCTGCATGCTTTGTGAATTATTATTTTGATGCAAACGGTCCAAACACACAAAGGCCTCTCACCCGCGTTTCCCCGGATCCAAAGCTGTGGCATTGCATACATATATATATATAATATATTCTGTGGACACATGTGGGAATTTCGGCGGTATGCCTTGGCCCAATTTCTTGAAAGCTCACATGTGAGTCCCTCCCTGGTGCCGCTAGCAAGGAACATAACTCTAATTTCTGTTTTGAGCCGTGGGTTAGCCATCCGCATCCCGCCTCGGGGTGGTTCTGCAAGGCAGCCAGGAACGTCTCAGAGCGCGTGCGCATGCAAGATGTGGTTTACAAAAGCCACAGCCAGAAGAGAAAACCGAAACAGACGCACACATACTGAGGAGGCTGTTTGAAGTCTTAAATGGACTTGTTGTCATTGTGGGCTTCTTCCCTCACATGCCCACTGAATTATTATCTTGTCGATTGCTGGTGGGCACGCATGCGTACATGCACAGAGACCCACAGACACAAAGACACAGAGACACAGAGACACAGAGACACAGAGACACAGGGACATAGAGACACAGAGACACAGAGACACAGACACACACGCACACACACACACACACACACACACCAAAGCGTGGCAAACATGTTCGCTCTGGCAAAACCTTTCCACAATAGAAGAAACCCAAACAGCCACAGGAGCCTGAAATAGGAAACACATTTTCTGCCATAGGGGCCCCAATTACTAAAGTCTAACCTAGGTTAGAAAAAGGGTACCCTTTTTTCCGTAGTCTATTTTAGTAGGGGAACCCTCCCCCCGAAAGAAAAAAAAAAAAACGGTAAAAGGACACTACTGGGGGACCTACTTTCCCACTTGGCTTCAACCAGCACCTAAACCCAAGATACGTGATACGCGACCCTGCAGGCTACAAACTGCTTAATGTTACACCTCCTTTATTAATAGTCCTCTCTATTGTGGCATTTTTTTCGTAATTCAGGATTGTGTGACTGTTTTGGGGTCCTCAATTGCAGCAAATGTTTCCGGAAAAAGAAAAATGTTGTTTACTCTCCTGATCTTGTCTGGGACTAAGCCTCCGAAGAAATATGGGCCAAACAAACTTGGCAAAGAAATCGAGCAAAGAAAACGAGCAAACAAATCCGGGCAAGCAGGATTCTTTGAAGTGGCCCCCAAACCATCAAATTTAAGATAACTTCCTTACAAAAAAGTACGGGCAAACAGTCACACAAAGGGGGGTGTCCACAAGGGGCCCTGAGCCTCTTTAAATGTGACTGTTTTGGGCTCCTCTTTAGTGTCTAACCTGTTTGGGGGTTGCCTAAAAAAACAGTCCTTGGCAATACTAAAGTAAGTACTGGGAATCTGAGGGTCAGCCTTGGCAATACTAAAGTAGAATTGGCAATACTAAAGTAAGTACTGGGAATCTGAGGGTCAGCCTTGGCAATACTAAAGTAGAATTGGCAATGCTAAAGTCAGTACTGGGAATCTGAGGGTCAGCCTTGGCAATACTAAAGTAGAATTGGCAATACTAAAGTAAGTACTGGGAATCTGAGGGTCAGCCTTGGCAATACTAAAGTAGAATTGGCAATGCTAAAGTAGGTACTGGGAATCTGAGGGTCAGCCTTGGCAATACTAAAGTAGAATTGGCAATACTAAAGCAAGCACTGGAAATCTGAGGGTCAGCCTTGGCAATACTAAAGTAGAATTGGCAATACTAAAGTAAGTACTGTCCCTCCCAGACCCCCAGGATCTCGCTTAAAGAGGGTCCAGCTGATTGGTTCCACTCCTAGCGAGGGGGGGGGGGGGCGGGTGGTGTAAAGAAGGTCCAAGATTAATGACCCGCCAGCTGAAACGCTCTCACGCTGCTATTTTGTTTCGGGGGAGTTTTCACCAACCAAATCGCTGGGGTCTATGGGAAGTTGTCCAACAAAGTCGCTGGCAGAGCTCTCACGATGAAATTGTGGGGTCTCTGCCCAAATAAGCTCTGGGGTTCGCGGCAGCTTCCAGAGAGGGTTCCGCAGGCTTCCACAGGATCCGGGGCTCTACCCGAGCATTTTTTGGTTCCTGCGCAAGCTCAGAAATGCTGGCGGTTTCCGTGGAACAAACGAGTCAAGAAATGAAGAACCATCTGCCAGGGATGATATGGCTCCACAAAATCCATTTCGCACCAGTTAAAATGGATAAGCCCCTGCACGTGTTGGGATAAACCACCCAACTGGTGCGAAGCAGATTCCTTTTGCCCATCCACAGTGCCCAATGGAACATTCCATAATGGACATTGGTTGGACCAATTGCATTTTCCTCAATTGAATGGGTCTGGCATGCACGAGGAAGGATGATCCACCCAGGCGCCTTGCACCACCTCAGTGCCTCGCCGCCTCGCCCCCGAAACCTAAAAGACATTGACTCCGAAAATAGCAGTTCGCCTTGAGTCGACCTTCCTCCAAAGTCGACAAGTTGCCTTTTCCGCCCAAAGCAAACCACATGAAACCCCTGCCCCCGGAGGAAAAACAAACAAAAACATCAGCGTGCCTGCATTGCCTGGCCTTCGGACCCATTTTCCGCCAGGCCGCGTGTTTGGATATGGACCGGCACTCGCAGGAGGCAGTGGCCTTGATGGACACTGGAAGCCCCAGGCTTTCGAAGATGGCCTGGGACGCAGAAAAGCAAAGCTAGGCTGGAATTAGTTGACCCCAGCACAAATAAATGTTTTGCCTGGCTAGTGGAAAACGAAAAAGGGGAACCCCCAAAACAACAAAACAATATAAAGGGGAACTAATTCTGGGGAAGAAAGGAGACGGGGGCCAAATCCATGTGGCAAGGAAAAATACAAGCCGGGTGGCCTCCCAACCTTGGTTGACCTCGGAGGGAGCAAAAATCTAAAAATTTAGCAGTTAAGTGGTTGGATTTCAACCACTAAACCACAATACGCAAACATGACAAATATTTCCCAACAACGGCCATGCGACAGCCTTAAAGCTGCACCAAACCACTATCTGCGCAAAGACCCCCTAGCTTTCAGCTGCTGGGGCCCAAGCAGTTGTTGTGGGTTTGTGGAAGAATGCACATTTCACCCGAAAGGTTCAAGAGGATCCAACCAACAGGGGATCTTTAGATGACATACGCCGGCAACGCCCGCAACCCCATTCGGTTTTTGTTTTGCCCTTGCAACAAGGATGTGGGCAAACTAAAAATCACAAATGAAGGTGCGGAACAGATGAGGTGGGCAGAAGGAAAGGAACAAGACTGGGTCTGGTCAAAGTATGATTCGTTCTTTATCTCTTTGTCTCTTTGTCTCTTTCTCTCTCACGCTCTCTCTCGCTCTCGCTCTCCCTCTCTCTCCTGCTGCTGTCCGAGGGCTGTGCCCGCCAGCCACATGAAATAACATTATGATTCACCAACTGGAAAAAAGAAGGCTGCAACACAAGGACGTAAACGAAACAAGGACACATGGTAAACACAAAAGGCAACAAAACAAGAACAATTTCGACCCAGGGGGGAGTAAGGAACCCCAATGCCATATGATTGATTTTTCCAGTTGTGCACAACACGTGTTTATTCTTCATCTTGCATAAAATCAGCACCCTTCAATGCATCCATCCTTGCTTCCCAGGCTGCGTCAAACTCTCGCAATAGGTGTTAACGACCCGACGCAAAGGGAAGTGGCACCCGTGTTCGCAAAGATAGAGCGAGGAGCACCGAACAAAGGATACAACGCTGGGCTGCCCGTTTTCTGGTCCCCCGCGAAAAGTGACAAACTTGCATTGGGTTAAGTGGAAGCGGATGGCTGGCTTCGCCACCAACGGGCAAACCCGTGAATTTCAACCGTGTGGGGTGGGGTCCAAAGACCCAAACCATCCCTGATGTGAAATGGACTTGGTCCATCCGCAGGGGTTCTTGGCCACGTGGCCCTCACTGCAAGTGAGTCTTTCTCATATGTTTAGCCTACCCAAAACCAGAACTGGGCTGTCTCAGATCTGCGACAATTGTTTCTCATCAGGGATTTACATGTTTTGTTGAAAAGCAACCACACCAACTTTAAAAAATGCTGAACACCCCAAAACATGACATACTTTCTGAGGAGATCCCGTTGGGATCTCACCGTCGCATTTGGATTTCGAGGCGCTCCGAGGCCGATCAAGGAGCCGGTGGGGATTTTCTCGATCGGCTCATCGTCGACCTGGAGCGGGAGGCTTTAACAAAGAAACAAACAAAAAAGGGGAGACACCGGCACAGGAGACAACTTCGGGGAACAACCGGAGCCTGGGAAACACTATGGTTTTGCTTTATCAGGAATCTCGGAGATGCCAAAGGAAAGGAGTCGTATAGGCAAACTGCAAACTATGACTCATTCAATGAGAGAGAGGTACTTGCATAAGACTGAACTTTTTGCACCGCTGCGTTCTGAAAAGCGCGCGCCGAGGTGAAAGAGGTCAATCCTTTGAAAGGAACACGTGCACTGAGGAGGTCAATCGGCAGTCCACCCAGACCCAAAGCACACCAGAAACGGCTCAAAGGCATCCCCAGCCTGCGGGTCACTCGAACTCCATTTGCTTAAGCCCCCTGGGAAAAACAAAAACAAGTTCAGTGGTGATAGGTTCCATTTAAAACCAACAGGGGAAAATGAAAACCCATTCTTAAGCAAATGGAAGCTCTTTTTTGGGATAAACCACTCAAAGGGCACACAAAACCTGGCGCGAGACGCGTGGATTTCCCCTGCACTACCTTTCTCCAAACGTCACCCCTGTGCTGCCATATGCCTCGATATGGCTTCAAGAGGGCCCAAAAAAAACACAACGGCTGATGTACACAAGTGGCTTTTTTTAGCTGGCCCACGTGAAGAAAGCACATGACTCATGAGCCCTTCCACCGGCCACTGGCCCACGTCAGTGGGAAGCGTCTTATGCACAGGGGAGCCGTAGCCCTGGACACCTCCTGGGCCCCGCAAGAGCCGAATGTGCGGCTCATCCAATCATGTAATGGCAGCATTCCCTATAGTTTCTAGGTCCAGGTCCAGTAGAGAGGTTGGAATAAGGGTACCAACTTTTTTCTGCAGTCTATGTTAGTATATGTTTGCTTTTTTGTTTTAAGGGGAGAGAAGGGCACTACTGGGGGACCTAGGTTTCTCTGAAAAAATCACCTTTACCAAGGGAATTCACCATAGATGGGCCAAAATACTGCCAAAATAGGTGATGTTTAAAACTATAGGGACCCCCGAATAGTGTGCACAAGGGGATTTCTTCAGGCCAAGCCGTTCAAGAGCGTCTCTCACTGAATCCGTAGTCAAGTAGTTCGACGCCAACTCAAATATCTCACAGGTTGCTGCCGGCATGCACGAGTGAACTATGTTTAAGCGTCCCTCACGCCCTTGTTAATCCAGAGTTGCACTAACCACAGCCCTCCAGAAAGTTCTCATCCGGTATTGCAAGGGGGCCTGGAAGATTGCACACTGGGCTATGTAGCACCCACTCATACGACCCATGCTTCGCCAATCAGCGTCTGAACGTTCAATTGCACACGCATCGCTTTCATTGGGTTTCTGCGCACATCATTGGCTCAATAAATGAATTTCAACTCCACACGCGCATTTGATCACTTCTTGAGTGGATTGGCCAAAAGGAGTTCAAACTTTTTGTATGGCACGCAAACAGTCTGAACCACGAAGTTTCAAGTCCAGGAACTCAGGGTTTCTTCCCACATTGTTTAAAGTCCAGGAACTCAGGGAGAGAGCTTCCCCATTTCTCAACCATATCCCTTTCCATCCCAAAGGCGCACATTCAAACTTCAAGGGGAAGGTCCGCTCAGTGCAGGAATAAGGTTGCAAACCAAACAAGTAAAATCCCTCAGGGTAGGCCTAGGTCCAAGGCTCCGTGGGTTTGCCAGGACCCAAGAAACAGAATCACCTCCGAATTCCAAGTCTTTTTTTAGGCCGGAGAAGGTGTTTTGGAGAAGCCAACTACCCAGAGCAACCCAACCCCCACACGTGATGTCCAAGTGGCACAAACGGCGGCTTCGCCGCCTTTGAGAAAATAAAACCTGTCAACCTCGTCCTTGGCTCAGGCATGCGAGTGCCAACCGGTACAAAGCTTGCCAACAGAGCGCAACTCAACCAAAATCAGAGCGGTGCTCCATGCCGATGGAAGTGGGGATGTCAAGATGGCGCCGCCATACACAGCATTTGACAATGAATACCAAGCAACAGCCGTGATGGGATGTTTGCAAGACCTTGGGTGCTACAACCATGAGGAAGGCATGTATTTGATTCAGTCCGTTGCCAAATTATGGTTTGCAAACAAACTGGGGAGGTTGACAGTGTTTCCTTCTCAGCTTGCCACAATCGCCATGAGTAATGCAATCGCATCGAAAAGCATATGGATTGTATGTGTAGGTATAGAGAAATAACCATATATATAATTCTTAAATCCGCCGACATTGTTCGGCGTGTCGGATACCTAAGAGAGGACTATTGGATACCTAAGAGAGGATAGAGGATAACCCCCCCCTTAGTCGACACGTCAAATACGCATGGTTTTTCGGTCGCCACCCCCCCCCCCTCCCCCGCGTACCGCGCGGCAATTTGATGACGTTCCACTAAACGTAGTCTTCGGGGAGCCGGTGTCGCAAAACAGGGGTCCCAGGCTCGATTCCCCCTGCTGGCTTTTTGGCTGGCTTGGGCTTGTTGCATCCTTTTGCCGAAAATCTGGAAAAAACTCAATGTTTTTGGTCGTCCTCTTTGCGAAAACGCAGCAAAACCGTGCTTTTTGCGGAAAATACTGGGGAGCAAAGGGGAAGTGCAAGGATACATACATGCATACATTACATTACATTACATTGCATTACATTACATTACATGACATTACATGACATTACATGACATTACATACATACATACATTACATACATTACATACATTACATACATACATACATACATACATGCATGCATGCATGCATACATACCTACATACATACATACATACATACATACATACATACATACATACATACATGCATTACATGCATTACATGCATTACATTACATTACTTACTTACTTACATACTTACATACGTGCGTACATGCATACATACATACATGCATGCATACATACATACATACATACATACATACATACATACATACATACATACATACATACATACATACATACATACATACATACATACATACATACATACATACATACATACATACATACATACATACATACATACATACATACATACATACATACATACATACATTACATACATACATACATACATTACATACATACATACATACATACATACATACATACATACATACATACATACATACATACATACATACATACATACATACATACATACATACATACATACATACATACATACATACATACATACATACATACATACATACATACATACATACATACATACATACATACATACATACATACATACATACATACATACATACATACATACATACATACATACATACATACATACATACATACATACATACATACATACATACATACATACATACATACATACATACATACATACATACATACATACATACATACATACATACATACATACATACATACATACATACATACATACATACATACATACATACATACATACATACATACATACATACATACATACATACATACATACATACATACATACATACATACATACATACATACATACATACATACATACATACATACATACATACATACATACATACATACATTACATACATACATACATACATACATACATACATACATACATACATACATACATACATACATACATACATACATACATACATACATACATACATACATACATACATACATACATACATACATACATACATACATACATACATACATACATACATACATACATACATACATACATACATACATACATACATACATACATACATACATACATACATACATACATACATACATACATACATACATACATACATACATACATACATACATACATACATACATACATACATACATACATACATACATACATACATACATACATACATACATACATACATACATACATACATACATACATACATACATACATACATACATACATACATACATACATACATACATACATACATACATACATACATACATACATACATACATACATACATACATACATACATACATACATACATTACATACATACATACATACATACATACATACATACATACATACATACATACATACATACATACATACATTACATACATACATACATACATACATACATACATACATACATACATACATACATACATACATACATACATACATACATACATACATACATACATACATACATACATACATACATACATACATACATACATACATACATACATACATACATACATACATACATACATACATACATACATACATACATACATACATACATACATACATACATACATACATACATACATACATACATACATACATACATACATACATACATACATACATACATACATACATACATACATACATACATACATACATACATACATACATACATACATACATACATACATACATACATACATACATACATACATACATACATACATACATACATACATACATACATACATACATACATACATACATACATACATACATACATACATACATACATACATACATACATACATACATACATACATACATACATACATACATACATACATACATACATACATACATACATACATACATACATACATACATACATACATACATACATACATACATACATACATACATACATACATACATACATACATACATACATACATACATACATACATACATACATACATACATACATACATACATTACATTACATTACATTACATTACATTACATTACATTACATTACATTACATTACATTACATTACATTACATTACATTACATACATACATTACATACATACATACATACATGCATACATACATACTTACTTACTTACTTACATTACATACAAACATGCATACATACATATGTACATGCATACATACATACGAGAGAGGGAGATTGGGGAGAGAGAGGCTTGGGGGGGGTGGGGAGGGAGAGAGGACAACAGAACACACAAGGGAGACAAGGGAGAGAGGAGGAAGGAGAAAAGGGAGAGGACAATGTCGGCGGACTGAGCCGGAGGCTCTAAAGTATATATTTCTTACTTATACAAATGCAATGACATAATTAGCCATTACATTATACATCTAAATGTACTATGTATAGATCCATGATGTCATCAATATATATATATAGTAGAGCTTTTACAGCCAGGGGTGAGTCTCTACATCTCATGATGGGACCAAGCACTTTCTGCTTCTCCCTTCAGCAGGATGCACGGGTTGCTGTAACCTGTCAGCACATGTACCTTACATGTGTTGAACATGCAAAAGAACTGGTGCTCAGTAGGGAATGACCCAGGGTTTTAGGAATGAACCTAGGGGTTCCCTCAAAGGAAACCAAAAAGGATTGTGTACAGGGGTCATTCCCTCATTCCCTGCTGAGAACCAGCAAGGTTGACAAGGCTGCACGAAGGCCTCGCTGCGGTCGACGCCACACACATCACAAGGTTGATGCTGGACATTCAAGGTTCCGGGTGTGAATTCTGGACCCGTCGCCAGCAAAACAGGCACCTACCAGAAGCAGCCTCTTTGTCTATCTATCAGCTCTTGCTCCAAATCGCTTCAGCTTGCACGCTTAATCCGACTCCAAGTTGCCATCCGGGCCCTTCTTTCTCACAATCAAAAACCGTGCAAATTGTGAGTCAGAAGGCCAAACCAACACCCTTCCATCTTGGGGTTCGTTTTGGCTCACCGCGATGTACGTATCCGGAGGTGGCTTGAGACATTTTTGACATCCCTTGAAAGACCTGGCAACCACGTGGCCAGGGCATCCGGCCAAGCAGAAGAAAAAAAGCTGTGCTTTAGACAATCGATGTCATCGTGTCCTTTGTTGAGGGGACCCTCGCTTGTGTTTCGCGCCTTAGGTACTTCCGATGGCGTGATGTGGGCCGAAATCGGATTTCCGCTCGTCGCAAGGTTGGGACTACTCCTGAACCTTTGTCTGCCCGCGGTGCAGCTGTGGTTCATGCCCTCGTTTGCGGAGCAGATGTGTTCGTTGTTTTGCGGCAGCTGCAATGCCACTGCTGGTGTGAAGGAGCAGAGGCCTAGAATAAACAAACAACAACAAAAAACGGCACAGCATGCCCGGTTGCATCCTGGACTATTTGCATTGGCACTGCAATGTTGACTCAACTAATACCTGGGGCATTCCCTCCAAAGGTGATGAGCCCCCCGCTAGAAGTGGACACCCCCGATCAAAAACGACCAGAAATGTATTGTAATCCGCGGCTCCCGTTAGCCCGCATAACTCAGTTCCTGAGTGGATGGGCCAAGAAAAATCTAAACTTTACATTTACCACAAAAACTTGGTTGCTGTTGACCACCCTGCAAAAACAAACATTAACTTGTTGGGGGTTTAGTTCGGAAAACCCAACTTGATTTCCTTTCCAAAAAGGTTAAAGTCTAAAGATCCGGTGCAACCAGCAGTCCAGAAACTGCTCCAAACTCCGAGGTTTACCCCACGGGCCCACCCGATGCAGTCCAGGCCGCGCGCTCGTGCAAGATGACTTCGTCACCCACGAAGGTTTCGACTTCTGACTTCTCCACCAGGTCCTCCGGACGTCAAACGACAAAGGGCCAGGCGGTGAAGTCGGAAGTCGGAACCAAAAAACGCAAAAAACGTAGAGTGGATGCCCTATGTATCGACTAGATGTATATTTTTCAACATATACATATTGCAAGTAAACGAACCATGCTGAACCACACAATGTTGGCTTATTGTAAATCATTGCTTAAGTTATAGGGCTGCTTTGTCCCCTTAATTCCCCTTACTTGGGTGCCAAATAGAGGTCTTCACACAGAAAAGACATAGCACCTGGAGGATACTTTGGGTCAGGCGACATGGGAACATGGGAGAGAGATTGATGAAATGATCAATCCCCTTCCATTCAAAAAAATAACACATATATGCTATTCAGCCCCAAAGGTGAATATGAGGGCGAGAAACGTCTTGTTCTCTGTTGTGTCCCGCACCCGCAGAACGGAGTTGGTGTGCCTTTTTCCGAAGAAAACGCCACCCCGGAAGAAGGGTACCCTCCAATAGAAACAAAAACAAGGGTTTGACTTTTTCCCCTCAAGGCAACAAACAACTCATGGGCACCCTCCAAGAAGACTCAAAATGAGCCACCCAAAAAACAGAGACAAAAAAAACATGAGCCTCCGGCTCCGGAGGCCCAATCGAATTGTGCGGGTCCTTCACCAGACTCCGGCTCATGCCGGTGAACTCTTGGGTCTTAAGGAAGGCATCCGCTTCCACTGAGAGGCTCTGCAACAGCCCTGGGGAACGGGTCGTTGGACGTCTTTGCGGAGCGATTGTCGGGGGGGGTGGGGGGGTTGGGGTGGCTTGGTCTTTTTGACGGTTTTGCGGGTATCTCAGTTCCCCTGCGGACAACCAACCAAAAGAGGGACCCGCAAAAAAAAAAGAAGATGGTGCACACCCATGTGACATCAGCAATCATTATATAGACTATTCCAATCTGACCCAAATCAGCAGTGTTTGACCTATTGAGATGCCTGAAATACGCTCTTGCACAAGCATTGGATGCATTGGACTGCCTGTCGGCTTGTGGACGGTACCGAGAAAGCAAGTGACACGCTCCATGCGGCCAACAGTAGTTCACCTTTCGCCAGTTCCGCCGAAGCGTGTGAAACTCTTCTTCTTCAACAAGCTGGGGGCGTTCGTGGGCGAGATGTGCCCTCAGAGCATGGAATAATAAAATAAGCTACTAGGTCCTCCAGTACCGTGGTTGGAATAAGGGTACCCTTTTTTTCGGTAGTCTATTTTAGTAGGGGAACCCCTCCCCAAAAAAAGGGTAAAAGGGCGCTACGCGGGGACCTATAGGCTAGGGACAAAGATCTCTCACTCACAAGTCCAACATCTGTCCCAGCCCTTGTTGAGTTGCAAACTGAGGGACGCCTACTGGGTACCGCCTGCGACAAGGTTCATCACACATTCGTCTCCGGCCCTGCCGGACACTTTCATGGCCGTTGAAGGAGGCCTTCAGAACAAACAGCCACCTAATCTTGGAGGCATTTTCTCGGTTCGCTAGGGACTCCTATCTGTGCACTTTGCGATGCCTGCTTTTCTGAACCAGGCATCGCGCCAGCGAGCGGCAAGACACATGCAGCAACAGCAGCCCTCCTGACATGCCCTCCCCAGAGCGCGCCGAGGATTCGAACGCACCGCGTGAGTGGGGTCGAACTTGAGTCAGCCAGCAGCGACAGCAGCGTGCCAAATGAGCTGAACAAAAGAACAAACAGCCGGCGGACGCTCGAGATTTTACAGCCCATCCTGGCACCATTCGACCTCGTTAGCTAACATGAAACCGAATCACCTCTCGGGATGGAATTGCTTGAGGAAAATGAACTAGGCGACCCCGGTCAGTTTCCACGCAGGAAATCGGACAAGAAACCACCGAAAACAACTCCGCACGCCCTCCCGGCTGGCCGGCCACGCCTGGACGGGTCTGCACCTGGCCCAACCGGAGAGAAAGAAAACGCCCAAGCGCGCTTGAAACTTGACTAGGTCCTCCAGTAGAGAGGTTAGAATAAGGGCACCTTTTTTTCTGTAGTCTATTTTAGTAGGGGAACCCTCCCCCAAAAATGGGTAAAAGGGCACTACTGGGGGACCTAGTTGAAACTCCATTCACGCGGAAATTGTTGCCTGATGGATCTCAGAGAATTCGGTTCTTACATCTTATATGGAGGTGTTTTGGACGCTCATGTTTTGGGATGCTACTCACACGATGACAGGTTTTGTTTGGGACCTTGATGATGGTGAGCACAGGGCCTCGAGTTCAGCTCCGGACAATCAAGAACTGACTTAAAACGAGCCAAGCTGTCTTGCAAGAGGTGTGAGTGCGACATCCACAGGGTGTGTTGGCTTATAGCTTTGGGCATCAAGGCTGGGTCTATGAAAACCAAGCTTAGTATACAGCAACTCAGTTGCCCAAAGGACCTGTTTACAAAAAGGTGATCACCTTTTGGGACCTCTACTACAAATAGACCAAGGGAAAACCAAAAGGTCAGATCCGGTCGATTCGCTTTGAACAACCGAGTGCAGCATCGGCAGTCCCCTTCAGCCTTTCCACGGGACGGATTTTGCTCCAGTGACAAGCAACATGCGCTCAAACCCGCTGCTGTTGGTTGGGCTTTTATCTGTTTGTAGTTTTTTGTGGAACACATATGGCTTTGTTTTATAGCTTTAAGCTTTTGTAGTTTGTGGCTTTGTGGAATGCTCCACAGAAGAAAAAAGAGAGAGGCCGCAAAAGGAAAACTCTGTTCAGGCCATCCGTGTGTGTCACACCGGTTGCTTCAGGCGCCAAGCAAACAAGGTCTGTCTAGTGCCAATGATTTTGCCAGGAGGCACACCAAAAAAGATGATTGGACACAGAGGTAAATTGAACCATCGTCTCAAGGGAACGAACGGTGTGGGCCCAAGACCTTTAAGACCTTTCAGCCTTTCCACAGCTCCGCCATTCAACTACACAAATCGAATGTTGAGCATTTCATGATCTAGGCTAGTACTGATAATCACCAAGGGTCCAAAATTCCGGCTTAACGCTGCCTTCATTCCTCAGTTAGGACCTCCCCAATCATTTGCCAACTGCCGCACACTTTACGCACCCGAAAGACGCTCATTGAAGCGATGCTCAGTTGACTCCCCCGCCCACAAGACATCGGCCCCTGCCTCTGCCATGGCTCTGAAACATGTAACATCCGCGTCGAGAGCCCAGAAGCTGCAAAAAAACGGACACCGACTGAGATTGGCAGCAGGCTCGGCAAAGGAAGCGCACGTTAAGCACACAGGCCTCCCTTTGCACTAGTGGCAACCTGAGGGAAACCACATCAAAACAAATCCCTGGCCAGTTGCGGAGAAAACCATGCGCCTTGTTGCCTCTTGACTCTTGAGACCTCAGCGATTCCGCAAAAAAAACCACTGCAAAAACCCTCAAGCACTAAGGCCTTGCCGTAGCCTCATGTTGCAATATATTTGGCCTTGGCACAATAAAAGGCTGTTCAAGCCCACTAACTGAAGCAAACACATGTCCAAGAATTGATATGGTCCGCTCAAGAGCGGGACTAAAAGGTCGCAGTCTTTGACTAAATTTCCGGCTGCCCCCTCTGGAAAACATCAACATACTTTCAGTAGTGAAATCGATTCCTGTTAAAACCACGAGACAATACAGAAAAAATAAACATAAGCAAATGGAAGCACAACTTTCAAAGTTACGTCCTCCGGATCTGGGCATCGAGGCCAAGTCGCAGTTTTACTGCTAAGGTCAGCTCCAGCATCAAACAATCCGGGCAAACCAAGTGAGGCTCAACCCAGAAAGAAGAAAATTATGAGTCATGAGGACGTTCTGCGTTCGACTTTGTTGCCCTTCAAACCATGGTTCAAACCACACTGTGTTAACAAGCTCCTCCTTTTGGATACTAAATCGGAGCCCCGGAACAAGACCGCTGGATGCTTAACAGGGGGTGTCCCTGGGTGTGGGGGATCATCACTGAAGGGAACACCCCCACTTTTAATACGAGAAATTTCTTCATTAGTCCGTTATGCTAGCAGAGTTGATCAGGGCCCTTTAAAACTTTACGCTAGCAGAGTACTTTGCTGGACCAGGGGCCTGTATTACTTAGACCGTCCTTTTTCCGAACCAAGCTTTGAAGCACCAACCCCGGAAGCCAATCGACGAACCTCGAGGGCGCCCGGCCCCTGGTCCGAAGAGTGCAGCACTTCGGAGGAGGATCAGCTGCTCTGTCTGAGTCGCGTGGCTGGGATGGGCCAAGGGGTTCTGACATAAGATGCGAGCCCAGATAGAGGGCCCCCAAAAAACAACAACAACACACAAACACAAAAAACAACGTGGCGTGATTTTTGGTGAACCACTTAAAGCCAACTATCTTTGTAAAATAGGGTAGCCGTAAAAAAGAACACACACCGCCATGTCGACCAATAAAACTGGAGAAGGCAGCGCCGTCCCTCGACCCGTTGTATCCTGATTGATTGCAGGGTTGTGCCCTTTGAACGCCGCTCCACCTTGAATCACTGAATTCCCATTGCCTGAGGACCCCTGACACTGGGAAATAGGTCTAGACAATGTAAACAAAACATGATTACTCACGTTGGCATCCCTGGGAACATGTCAACATGATGCTCTGTTCAAAACAACGTCACTGCAAAAGGAACTGCACTTACACATCACCCCTTGAACCCAAACAACCCACTCTGAAAGAAGCAACTTAATCACAATTGGGGCTGTGTTTGGAGGGGGTGGCTGGGCTAGGAAAGCTTCAATCAACACATGCCTGAAAAGCTCATACTTAAGGCCGAAGCTGGCCAAGCTTCAAACAAGACCATGACCGAAACCGAGAATGACAAGGGGCTTGTGAATTGAAGTAGTCGGCAGGGCTACGGGGAAGCACACGCAACTGAACAGGCGGCGATTGATGCATTCCAGCACGGTGTTGAGTCTGCATAGGTCAGCTGTGTTTCAGTTGGTGTAAGTAGAATCAAGTAGGTGACAGAAGATGCGTCCATGCAATTAGATCTCTTTGAGCAGTGACTTCTTTTGGCCAGATTGACGCAAGACTGGTTGCCGCGAGTGGACCATCTACAGGCTCAAACCGAACTCCCGAGCAGCAACGAGAACGGGTTGAGATCCGTTTGTGGAACCTCTGCAGAAAAAAGCCCCGCGCTGCAAGCAAGTATGCCAGTGAAATTTCTGTCAGTTGCAAAGATTGTTCCCAACAACCCACAAGGGCCAGGGATTGAAATCCCCAAGCCAAACCACCAATCAGTCGGGTTTATCTGTATGGCTGGAGTTTTGCTTTGCTCAAATCGGGTTTAGCAAAGCAGACCGAAACCACGGCCATCGATATTCCAAACCCACAAACTGCCGACTGTTTCTCCTGCAGATTCATGTGGGATCCGGAAAACTCGCATTTGTAGAGGAATCTTCTGCTCAGAAATGGCACGACTGTGGGTTCCGTGTTGGCGTGCAGACATCTGTCAAACCGGAGCTTTTAATTTCATCCTGAGAGCAAGAATTGGATCAAGTAAAGGACCTTCACGAGAGAGGCCGCTTTGCCCTACATGCCTCCTGAGTCCTAGAGATTTGCCAGGCTTCAACCAAGCAACATTGCTTTGTTTGGTGTGATTTTTTGAGGGCAACCTTTTTTGGTAGGCGCTAAAGGGAAACCAAATGGATACCACCATGTTGGGGGTCCTCAAAACAAACAGCCCTTGGCCTAGTTAATCCTGGCACACCGATCGAAGTATACTCAAATCAGCGCCACCTGGGTGTGAGTTCAAATCGGGACCTTTGTCATCATTTACATGGGTATGTACTGCGGGTGAACAAACTCATGCACCAATTGTAGGTGCTGTCCCCAGTATTCATGGAATTTCATGCAGGTGCGAAATGAAATTCCACCAGTAAGCCCAAGCATTTGGGGGCATTGTTACCAACATCACAGTGGCCCCTTATCCCATTCCATGTTTCAGGGATGGTGGGATCGAAACTCCTTCCAGGGTTGCGGAACAGTGGTGCCAAAGAACATTTTCGCAACCCTCCACAGTGTGTTCCTTTGTTTTTTCTTTGGAACCCTTTGGTCTCCTTTGGTTTTTCCTTTGGATTTTTTTGGCTTCCCAACAAACCCCTCAAAAGTTGGCAAAAAGAAGGCCCGGTTTCCCCACAAATCCCTCTTCACGAGTGGGTACCAAGCAGCCACCCTGGCTATGCCTGACCACCCCGATCGCCTAGTTTTTTGAGCCGCCCGGCCCAGCGGTGGGCGTAGATGCCGCTGGCCACGAAGTCCGCAAACTGCAGGTACCTGGGCGGCGCGTCGTCTTTTTTTTGAGGAGCCCAAATAGGGGGAGATGTTCGGTGTTTTGGGGGGCGATTTTGTGGGATTTGTTGGGGAACCCCCCAAAAAAATGCACCACCCAAAATGACGCCACCTGCTGGAAGCTGAAACTTCTGCAGGTCAAAGACCAAGTTCCCAGCACTTGGATTTTGTCGTTTTTGGAGCCCAAAATGGCGCAACGGGCTTAGCACACCAGGCAAGAAACCTCATTAGGGGGACCTCATTTGGTGAGGCCTGATGGCGTAAAGGAGGCTTGATGGCCAAATCGAACTTGCCTTCACCCTTGGGGTTTAAAACAACAAATATACGAGACATCCACAGCAGCAACCATACCTTAGCTGAAGCCTCCACTGCGGGAGTCAAGCAACGCGCGCAAACCTGGCAGGAGTCCCAAGAATCGGACCGAGCCAAGATACCTTGCACCAGAAAAGCCGCCAGTTAGGCCATTCGTGCACAAAAAGCCCTCACAAAGGTCGCTGGCGCAAGCGTAAAAAAGGATCCCCAAGAAAAAGAGAACGGGGAAGAGCATAGAAACAAAGAGACAGTGAGACTCTCCTACATTCCCCAGTCGCGTGAGCCTGCTGGGAAAAAACAAACTTATTGTGTTGTGTTGACCGTTTGTTAGCAGCCGCCAAACAAAACAGCAGGCCGGTACCACTGGAGCACTGGAATTCTATAGTGGGTTTTGTGAAGGCGAGCTGCGCTCGGTGGTACAAACGCAAGAATGGAATCTGGAAAGGCAAGCACCCCTGAATTGCCGAATTGAGTTCAAGTTGCGCAAGTTGCGCTTCTTTGATACCAAAGTGAGCCATGCTCACCAAATATGGCCATGGGTCAAATCCCGTACACTCAGTGAACATCCCAATCCCCACTAAAAAACAGGTTCTAAAACGGGTGGTGAAGTCACCTACCAACCAAAATGGGATCCCAAAACGGTTTTGACAACCACGGCCATATCACTTCCTAGAGGACTCCCTGGGCTCTAAAGCCATCCAGAACCATGGCACAAAGGGGAGGTGAAGAAGCGAGCGTCCCCGATGGTCCACCTCAACCGAGTCGAAGGGTGAAGTGGAATGCGGGCAGCTGAGAAAATTTGGGGATGGACGAAATCCATTTCGCACCTAAAGAAACCCTAGAATGATTTAAAAAACCCCAACGTAAATACCAACCCCTGGTTTCCCGTGTCCATCAGTTATAGTTATCCAAGGTCTGGGAACTCCAAGCGGAAGTCGCCTTTGAAGCAGCTCCCTTTCTGAGCTGTTCACGGATTTTGGGTTGGCCACTGCGATTTTCCATGGGCTCCTTTTTCATCTGGGCTGTTCAAATGGAGAAGCTTGGCCAAGTCTAATTTCCAAAATCCCGATTTTGCGAAGACCCTGCAGAAGGGACCGGTTCCTTGCATAACCGAAGGCAAGGACGGTAGGGATTAAGGGTTACTCTAGGGGCACCTTCCCCATTCTTTCCTGGCATCCTTCTGTCTAAAAAACCACCCACATCCCTGGGGAAACAGCTGGTTTTGAAAAGAACGAGGGTTGAAAAGAATGGAAAAGGAATCAACCCCTAGAGTTACATTTGAACAGCCCAGCTTTCGGCTCTTTGAGGCCCAGGGTCGAAACCAAACTACCGACCTGTCAGTGGACACCAAAAAGCTCGGTGCTGGCCAGGTTTTCGGGAAGCAGATGGCGACGGGAGAGCATTCAAACTTCAGCTTCCCACTCATTGGCTTGGATTGGTGGCTTGGGGATTTGGATTTGAAAGGGCCCCTGCTTCTTGTGGAGCACAGCTTCAATACCTTGGCACGATTGTAGAGATTTGGCTATCTACAAAAGGGAAGCCAAATGGAAACCAAATGAGAAAGTGCTTGCGTTGCCT